TGGTATGTAGGCCCGTATGCTGTTTTCAGGGCTTCACAGAAACCTCTGTGATCACCTGTGTCAGCGCACAATTGTGTTTTTTCAGCTAGACTGATCCACCATTTGTTCTGGATGTCACGGAGTTTCTGTTGGAGTTTGCTGCATGTAATGTGAAAGGCTGTTTTTCTTATGTGACAGGATGGCAGTGCAAGGTGTGCTTGGTAGGCAGTTCTCTTCTTCATCAACAATTCCTGGATCTCTTGATTGTTTTCATGGAACCAGTCCTTGTTCTTCTTGAGGGAGAACCCTAAGGTTTCTTCAGAGGACTGCTGGATGCTGTTTTTAATATGGTGCCAGAGTGTTACAGGAGAGGTATCTGTAGAATCTGAGGAATGGTTATCTAGCCTAGTTTGAAGATTAGCCTGGAATTTGTGTCTCACTGTGGCTGATTGGAGATTGTTAACTTGGGATACTGCCCCTTTTAGGATTGAATTTAAGAAAGAATAGATTTCTAACAAACTACATAGGTTTTCTTCTCTACTCAACTGAGACACAAAACTGTAGTCAGTGACTGAAAAAGGCTCATTATTCGTAATTAGCGAAACATCCTTTAAGTTCAGAAGTAAGGAAAGCATGAAAACCTGTAACTAAGCCTCATATTTCAAAAGGCTTTGTTCTGACTTGCGGGTCCAAGACCCGTTCCACCAGCTACAAAGTGAAACAGACACAACCACGGAAGTGAAGATCCTTCCAGGCAGTTACAAAAGTAGCCCTATCACTGTATGCACTGTGTGCCAAGCAAAAGGAATACAAGTCCTTCTGAAAAGCCCATAAGTGAGAGGAAGGTCAGTATGGAATGCACAGCGGCTCAAGAACATAGAATCATATAGAAACATGGTAATGGTAATGGTGTTACTCAACAACAGCTCTCTAGAAGTTCTATTTTCTGGTGGTTATGTGTTCTCCCTTGAGGCTGAAGAACTACAAAGACTTATGAAACTTGGGAAGATGCAGATGTGGAGGAAAACAACCAAACATCCGTCTTGGGAGAGAAATGGGCGTTATGTGAACATTATTTGTTAAGAGCTTCTTACTCAGGGCAAGACTCATCTGGGAACATTCTGAGCTGGGAAACATTAGCTAAAAAGATGTCAAAGCAGCTTTCCTGAGGAATGCAGGTTGATGTATCTGAAAGCTCCCTGGTGGGAATAAGAGGTAGAAACACAAACAAAATGAATAAGATAGAACTGCAGGAGAACTAAGTGCCTGGTCAGAGCAATTCATATTTTTTCTCATGACCAAGATCACCCTGCACACTGGAGATGGGACAGCCTCCAAAAGATACTGTCAGCCAAGAGAAAAGTTCCACCAAGGGACCCAATTCACTAGCATTGTGCCTGTCAATTCATTAATCATACTCTCTTTGTATGACAATGTATAAATTTTCTCTTTTGCTTTCAATGCCACAAAGCCAAAAATCTTCTGCTATCAGTAGTCTTGTACTGTGGGCCATAAATATTTTTAACAAACCACTTGTTGGGTTGGGTTTTTTTCATTTTTCTTTATGGATGTAGAAATAAATTTTGATACAGCTGCATTCACCTGCATGACAAATGCTCTCTATTTTCTTCCAAAATCTTACAACCATAACTTACACTTTTTGTACTTTATTTATTTCAACCTTTTTTGTCGTAAAAGTTTGCTTTGTTATATTTTTTCATGGTCAACAGATTTCCAAGTGTGAAGAAGGTTTAGAGTCATTCTTCATCAATGACCAAAAATTATCAAATTAGAAGTTTCCATATCCACATGCTTTGCATAATTTCACTGTCACCTCAAAATACAGAGTATTACTCTCATTACCCTCTTACTCTTACTGGAACAATCTTACTGTCCAGGTCAGCTCATTATCCAAGTGGAGTCTTAACCTGTGTCAATTACTTCCTTTACGTCACAGAGAGTGAATTCAGATACAATTTTGCTTCTTGCCACCTCAGTCTGAATGTGCACATAGGTTACATAATAAAAGATTCTCATTTACAGTTATTATTCTTGATGGCACTGTTTTCATTGAAAAATACTTAGTTTAATGTTAATACATAAAAAGTGGAAATTCCTTAATATAATAAGGAGGCTGAAATATTGAAAATGCAATAAAGAAATCTTCCTTCAGAGTCGTATTCCTTACTTATTCACCACACTGAGTAGGTTTTATAATGTCGGTGCTTTGACAAAGCTCAGATCACAAAATAGTATGTTTGAAACTTCAAAAACATTCATTCTTGAAACGGCAAATTGAGAGAGTCACTGTCTTTTAGTGACCTCAGACCAAGGTTACATACCTCAGTTTTATATAATAATCAATTATCAGCCTCAACACATGGAGAGGAGAAAACTCTGTCCTGAGCATCAATGGCAAATTATTATCTCTAGAACCATCAGGCTACAACCTTCAAATCAATTTGAAGTTGACCTTGAAAATTTGAATCCATAATAAGACCCTTATTCTCTACCACCGGGATCCCAAACAGAGCACAAACTAATTGTGTCAGCTGCTTTATATGGAAGTAAACAAAGAAAGTGCTCCAATTCTCTTTTATCATTGAATCAGATGAGATCCATTTGCTCTTGGGTTTGGATTCTGCATTTAAATTACAGTACTGCATGCCAGAGTGTGTATGTCTTGCTTGATTCAGGGAAACATCTTTCACTTGAACACATGCTTGGTATAAACATGTCTCTAACTCCTGCTCAAGTTGGAGTCCTAGAGTTTCCTACAGAGCAAGATACTGTTCAGTAGTGGTAAAATTGATTTTTCAGACAGAAAATAATTATAGCACTGAATAAAAAATAAATATATTTAAATCATATGAAAATAAATATCTTGAAGTCATGTGAAACATGTTTATCATTATTCTGAAAGTTCATATTTAGAGCTTACTAAACCTCTGAACTCTTTGGATAGTACATGTATCTAGAACATTCTCTATAGTGGAATCCAAAAATATTTTACAGCCTTCACAAATATAAAATGCAGCCTTGCTACAAGTGTGTATCTATTTCTGGGATGACTCAACAGCAATTCTGAAGAGAGTACATAATTTTAACAAACAGAGATAAAATATTCCAAAATTTGAACTAGAGGACAGGTTCATGCAAAAACTATGAGTTGATCTACCCTGAAATCTGGCCTGACTGGTGGATAATTCTTACAATCTTCCCAGCAGTGTTGCTTTAGCTAATTTGCATTTATAGGGCCACAGTCCACATGAGTTACATCAGACCTTTGTTAGGATAAACACCTATAGATACAAACAGAAGTTTGCCTGGATGAAGAAAATAATAAAATCTGCAAGAAAATGGAGAGAAGGTTGTTAATGCCTTCATAACCAAGTCTGCAAATATTTTGAAGGATGCCTTCTTCTCTGGATCAATTCATGGCCTCAACTTGCAACCATAGCCAAGAAATAAGTTTGTCTTATGCTGAAAGATCTACAGAAATGAAAGAACTCAACTTCTGGGGAAAACTTAGCACAAAACATTGTATAGGTAGCGTGGCAACTCCTCATACCTATGCAAGTTCTCTTAGAATTTATTCAAACTTCTTTTGCTAAAACATTGCAGAGAAGGAAGGAAAATTTTCCTCTACCTAGCTTAGGAAATTCAACAAAATTCTACTTCTGTTACATGGTCTGAATATCATTCGAGAAAATAGCAACTGCAAAATGGGAGTGCTGGGACATGCCAACAATCATCAGATTAAACCTTTATGACATTATTGTATAAACAAAATTAACATCACCATGGATCAGTGACAAAAGAAGTTCGGTTCAGTGTGGCAGGAAAGCAATATTAAACACAATTTTGAAATAACAGTAGGACAAATTAATGTTAAACAGGAAATATTAAACAAGAAAACAATTGAAACTCTTTCACAAATGCTTTCTTTCCTTAAAGGAACAACTCAGAAGAAAGTGTCACCCTTGTAACTTTCTTTTTTTTAACAGTCGTCACAAATCTGTGTAGGAGACTCTCTGATTTGCAATTAGCTTATTTTTAATAGAATCGTATCCTTCCCAAAGAAATTACATAGAAACACCAAAATCATTATTTTTAAGCATTAAAAAATGTGCTTATATCAGACTGCTAATTTTTCATCTGTAGTGATGCCTCTCCCTTAAGACAAATATAAACCAGAAACAGATTCAACTCAACTATTTTGGTTGCTTTACTCTGCAGATCTTTACAAGGCACATTGTTTTTCTATTGAGTACATTGGGAACTTAACAAGCTTTGTTTTGATGGGACTGTCATTCTCCTAAATCATTACTAATCCTCATCCTTCCAACACTTAATGTTTAAAAATTACTCTGCAGCTGCACTTGAAAGATGACTTTGTTACCACTCACAAATACTTCTGACCTTGTCTTGACTAAAACCAAAATATTTCTGAATCTTGAAGGACTGAAGTCAAAGTGGGTTTAAGAAAGCTGGTAGCCAAATTATTTGGAGAGTTGCTCACCAGGAAGAATCAGGGCAAATGTGTCCCCACTGTGTAATTCAGAGCCCTGATAAGTGAAGCTCTGATTCAGATTTGTCTCCTAAGGAATCCTTTCTCTCATGCTCCAGTTCTCCAGTGACTACAGTAGGAATTTAGGGAGATTACCTTTGGCAAACTAAAACTGGCCTTTATGAATACTTCCCTTCCCATGAGGAAAATTATATATCATCCAAGCTATCACTTCTGTTAGTCATAAAAAGAAAAGAAAAAAAAGGCATTTTATAGCATCTGAAGTGAATACAAATTTTTTATAAAAACAAAATTTCTCTCTTTCTTCTTCCTCTGAGTACTCAAAATATTTTCCCATCTTTAATCCCACTATTTTGGTCAAGATGGAAAGAACTACATTGTACTGAGGACTAGGGAGTGAAATAAAACTGTCACCATGTTTTAATTAATTTACAGAAAGAGGAGTTTGAGCCAGTAGAGTTGTTTGTCATCAGGTTTTCATTTTCTGTATTGAAATGAGCCTTCATGCTTCCAGCTGGGTTTCGTTCATCACCATCGAGTCTCTGTGTGCAGATATGGTGTATGTCCTGTGGGACAGAGAAGGGGCAATGATCATTTTGTTCATACCAAGCTGGAAATTAAGTTCCTCATTCTGGGAAGTGGTTTCTCCAGATCATTTCATTCACTGCACAGGCCTAGGAAAGCCAACTTGCATTCAGCATCAGGGACTAGGTGAAACCCCCTTAAGAGGGATAACTTGGAGGTTAAACACAAATCCAGCCACCAAAGAAGGCTACTTTGGATTTGTCTCTCACTTGACTAAAACTGTAGAAGGGTTTTTAGTAAACTGTAAACATTTAAAACATGTTTATACTCTATATGTTCTGCAGACAAAGTAAATCTGAGTGCAAGATTATGGAATGATCTGCTATGAGAAGCTGTGGAAGCTCAAGATGTTGACTCATTCTGAGCAACACGTCAAAAAATGCTGGAAGTGATAAGGGAATAATATGAATGATAAAGTTGTCCTTCATACCTCTAATAAGTACATGCTGAGGAACATATGTTTTAGGCCTTTCAAGAAAATTACTGGAATTCTAATGTTTCGCAGTCACTTATATGTGGTATGGCATTGGTGGCCTTTGTGTCAGTCTACACTGCCAGATTAACACCCATCATTTTCTCATTGTTCAATCATAGAAGTAAGGTACTTGTCTGGGGTAATGCAGAATTAGAAGCACTTTTCCTCCAAGTGCATAATTAGTGTTTTCAGGAACTCCACTGGTGTTCATCATAAATTTTGCCTGAAAGTTGTAAATAGAAAGCAGTTTTCTTATGAGACCTTATTATACTTTGATTTGTTGAGTTTGGGCTTGGTTTTCTGGTGTGAATGTTACCTACAGGGTGATTAAGGAACTATTGTCTCTCCCTGCTGATTCTGTAGCTGAAAGACATAGTATTAACAGGTTAATTATGTAAGGAATTAGCACAATTCTCTTCCATTTACTTCACTGGCAATAGAGGTCATCAACACCTTCTGGAGGAAAATCATATGATGACACGACAGGCTTGATCCCAAAACCACTAAAAGCAGTGGGTCTTTTTTCCAAACTATATTAATGGAGTTGCAGCTGGATCTAAAAGTAAGGACTGTCTCCTTGCTTCTCTTTATACATCTAGAGCCTCTTCACAAATTCCCATGGCAAGAAATACCCCAAATAAGTCATGCTTAAAAACAAGAAATAAGCTTCATAGAGCTGTGATCCTTGGTAGATCTTAGTTTGGTATTTTTTGGAATGTTGTGTAATTAAAGACATCCTACTTTTCAAAGAAGAAATTACCTTGATTTCTTCAAAGAGTTCTTCGCTTTCAGTTCTCCTGACCGGCAACAGGCAAATTTACAATCTATGACCTGGTAAATAATTGGGTTGTACATGGCTGCTGACTTTGCAAGCAGTGTTGGTACCACTGAAAACTGAATGGGAACTGAATCCGGCTGTCCAAAGGCTGACCAGACTGAGACCACGGCGTAGGGGATCCAGGCAATGAGGAACCCTGCGCAGATCAACATTGCCACCTTGTGAGAGGAGAAAAGAGAGGAGGAGGTTTATCCAGCACAGAGAGACACTGGAAGCACGACACAGAGCAGGGCAGAATGCAAGGGAACATGACACTGAATGGAAAAGAAAAATGATGACTTGCTTCAGGTAAATTTTCAATATGAAGAAAATCTGTCACACATCTTTATCTAGTGCCTGTTTTTCTTTCACCTGACACAGAGTAGTTAATGAGTCTGTTATCACAGACCTTTAAAAATGGCTAAAGATGAGGAAACTTAATGAGATCTCAGAAAATTATAATCATTTGACACTGGATTTAAATTATTTAAGGAGGAGAGTCCTTTCGAAACACAGAATCTCTTTTTTTTTTTTTTAGGATAACTTACAGATAATATCAGAGCTGCGAAAAAGATCTTCTGAAAATTGAGAATATAATTAAAACTGACAATGCTAGTACAATGTTTAGTTATCTTTCTTCTAAGCCATATCATGGATTTGTACTCCATTAAGATATGTAGATAGTCTAAAAAAGCATATTTCCAGCAAATGTTTCAGTTCTGATAACATGTTCCCAGTAAATTAGTAAAGGACTTCCTTATAATACGAGGAAATGTAACTATAAGAAAGTTTAGTATAAATGTTTAATAAAGTGTTTGGGGCTAAAATTGGAGATTTATATACTCTACCTGAACCAGCCTGTCTGCACTCAGTCACAGCCTGGTATAGTTTAAGATGACATCATGCAATAATACATTCTGAAGAACACCTGCCATTATACTGCTGCCATTGACAGGCTGTTGCTGCATCCAGACTGGGAGTAGTACAAGTGCACTCATTTGGAATAAGGCAATTAGCAGGATTAGGAAAAAAAAATCACCAGAAAATAAAAGGATTTTGGATGCTGCATAATCTTTTCTGTACATTATTTTGTTGTCTGTCACTGAAGGAAGTGATGTTCATGTGAGCCAAGGGTCTCAAACACAGTCTTTTTGTTTTAAATTGTGCTCTGGAGTCAAATGGGTTATAAGGGAGACTCATTTTCCATATTTATATTTATCCTAACATTATGTTCCCCACTGTGGATCCAAGACAGGAGGGACAACTACTAGTGCTTCAACTCAGATCACATTGAAGTTTTATGCGATCCCTCCAATATGGGAAAAATAAATCTGCAGCCTCAAATCAAAAGTTTGCATTGTTCTTCAAAGGAAATTTGCTGAATAACCACAAAAAAGTACCGTATTGAAACACCCCTTTGAAAGGCAAGTACAGCTGTACCAGCTGTATTGGCAGCACTGGTTGTACAGGTACCAGCTGAGATTCTCTAATATGTTTAGACATATTGTCCCTTATTGTTCTATGTTATATAATTTTCAGTTTAACTCACAAAAAAAAATGTAATAAAATTTGATCAGCCAAGCAAAAGTTGCTGCTTGTCTCTCTCTTGGCATGGCTTACAGAGGCTGGCGAATTTTTTACAGCTAAGGAATCTCGGTTTGTTCAACACAAGTCTTTATTTTGAGAGATTTGCTGGCACAATAACCAGTATCAAGGCTCATGGCTGTCACCATTGCCAAAGAGAAAATAGATTCAATCTTAAGGAAAAACAGGATATGGTCTAAGATGCAAAATTAATCTTAGTACTTCAGTGTATTTTTATCACAGGGCTGAACTTAAATGATAAATTATTTGCATAAAAACAATTGCAATGTCACAGGACTGATTTTAGTTTATATCTTCATTAACAGAGGAACGTAAACTGTCTGAAAGTTTTATTTCCCTGCTACAAAATCTGCTCCTTATCTATTTTCTGTTATAATTTCTGTGCACCTCGAACACCTTAAATTAATCTTTACAACTGTTCCTGAAAGCAAAGGGTGCTTTATGGGGGGGAACAAGGACACAGGGAGATGATATGACTTGTAAGGTCACACAGGAAAGCTGTGATAGAGCTTCAGAGTGAACCATGATCTCAGGGACTTGAGTGCTCTAATCACAGAATCATGTTTCCACTCCTGTGTTTCCCATCTTGACAGCAACAAAGGAGAAAGCTACAAGAACCACCTTCAAGGCATCATCCTATTGTCTCCAAACCTGCTTCTGTGACACAACAAATCAAACCGAGGTAAATGCTCCTACCTTGGTCAGCTTCATTTCAAGTATGTGGCTGTTCTGAATCCTGGTATCGTAGTGAGCGACTTCTTTGGTGGAGGATTTGACTTTCAAAATTATCTTGACATAGGAAAACACAATCACCGCAGTTGGGAGCAGGAGGCAGAAGAAGAGAATACTGAGAACAAAAACCTGTCCAGCCACCGAAGCCTGTGCCAGCCACCAGTCCAGAGTGCAGGAGGTTCCAAATGGCTCAGGGGCATAGCTCCCCACCCCAGCAAAAGGCACCGTAGCCCAGAACATGGCATAGGCCCAGATTATTGCCAGACAGACAAATGCATGATGTCTCTTCAGCCAGGTACCTGCAAGATAATTCCAGAGTTACAAGCTCATGCCCAGATGTATCTGGCACGATTGAACATGCCATGTCACATGGAAGTGTTCAATGCCAGGTTAGATGTAACTCTGAGCAATCTGGTCTAGTGGAAGCTGTCCCTGCAGGGGGGTGGAACTGGATAGTCTTTAAGGTCCCTTCAACCCAAACCATTCTATTCTTCTATGATTCTATAAAGTACGAGTTTGGTCAACTGTTTTACAACAACTCTGTAGTGTTAATCTTGCCTCTTTTCAGGTATCAATAGTGATCCTGAGCAAGGCCCTCCAGCTCGTGTTGTGCCTCGTTGTCTTAGTTTGAAAAAGGTTTTTTCCCTGCAGTGGGAAAGTGGTTAACTCCAGGGATGGTGTTCTTGGTGTTGAGCCAATCAGAGTACCCCTGTGAATTTAGCATATTACACAGACCCAAAGAAAAGCTGTTTGGCAGAGAGAATTGGAGCCATGAGGTAACCAAGGGGAGCCCCGAGTTTGGGGGTGCCCCTGGGCATGCTGTAGCCCTGGTGCTATGGCCAGGGCTACAACATTCCCTCACCGTTTTTCCCCCTGTGAGTGTGGGAGGCAGCAGCAGGGATCATGAAGCAGAGCAGAAGGAATTCCAGGCAGAGGAGAGAGAAACTTCAAGCAGTCTCACTGCCACCTCCCCTGCCACGGCGGGAGGAGAGGGCGACTGGAGCTGAGACTGGAGAGAAAGAGACAAACTGAGAGCTTGGAGGTGCCCCTGCTGAGGTTTGGACGGGGACAGCCAAAAACCAAAGGATGAGGAATGCAGGGGATGGCCCCTCCTGCCACCTGGCAGCCCAGCTGATGCTACAGCTGAGACAGAGAGAAGCCAAATCAAGCAGGTTCGAAGTGGAGAAGTCCCTAAATCTTACTTCCTGGGGGGAACCTTCGTGAAGCAGGGGAAAAGGACTCGAAAGCTTTGACTCCCTGTAGCTCACGATGCAGACCTGGTGCAGCAAGTGCTCCCTCGCAGCCCAGGAGGAGCCCTCGGCAGAGGCCGAGCAGCTGGTGGGGATGCAGAAGACCCCTCCTGCCCTGAAGGTTCTTCTGGACTGATATGGGAGGGCCCCAGGAGTGGTAGAAATTGTATTAATACTGTGTATTTATTTGCTTCTTCGTTTCTACAGGTTTTATTTTGTTAGTAATAAATTTTGATATAACTCCCCCATGCTGAGTTTGTTGCCTGTCTGAAAACTTCTCTCATCATTTTAGCAGATTTGTGGGGGTTTGAAAAATTGGTTTTGAGGCTCAAACCACAACACTCATGAAGACAAATGCACACTCATATGAAAGACTCCACCTAACTTTTTTTTAGATCTTTGCTTTAAGTTGTGATGGTTTACAACTGAGAAGAGTCCAAACCAAAACAATCCAAGCAACCAGGCCAGCAACAGTTGTGAGAATCTTGTCCAATAATTTTGGAAATTGCTTTGTGGTCTCTAACAGTGTATTCATGGTGTGTGATCAGATGAGATAGAGGTTCAACCTACATGAAGGACAAAGACTTTAATTCAGCTTTTCATTACTCAGTATGAAGGCTCACCCACAGCAACTGTACATTGTAACTTACATTATTTCCTATTCTTTCTGTCATGTATTACCTGGCTAAAGTTCAATCTCAGGACAGTTCTCAACATAAATTATTAAACTAAGTGACTTTAAAAAAAGGCTTTACAGAGGGAATGAGATATGCAAGATATATTTTTACCTTGTCATTCTTTTCCAGTATAGAAAATCACCATGAGTGTCCGGTCAGAAGTATCCATAACAGGTGTTTTCGTGTATCCTTGCCCATTTTTTTAATTAAGCCTAATTTTATTAAATGCATGTCTGGAGCTGTGGAGTGTGGAATATTGTCTTTCTGCTCATCTTGCATACAGCTCTAATCCATGTGGAAAAAGCTTCAGTTTACAGGCTTTCCATCATCACCTATATTCGACATTTTGGATTTGGATAGAACAAGTAAAAATGTGTAATTTTTTCAGAAACTCGAAATATGGTGTAATGATCCTTTCACTTTGGAAGCTCCAACCTGCTTGCAGTCCCTGACTCACAGAGGAGTTTTCACTCACTTCACACCAACATTGAGGAGCTTTCTGCTGGATTTCAGGATCAAAGCAAAGAAGCACCTGTAATTTTAATGTGACCAGTGTCCCTTCACAGCTGATTTTACATTTCCAGATCACTGGAAGGAAAATGAACACTGCCTGACAAATTATGTATTCCTGTATGATGGTTGAGAGACAGAAAGGTGGTTTGTTGGGCTCAGGGGTGGAAAAACAAAGCAACAATAGAATGAGTATTAAAAGAGTGACATTATTTTTGCAGTTATTGTCAAACCACAGCAACCTAGTGCCAAAAAAACCCAGGTGCACCAGGTTCCTGATGACTGATTTGGTCATTATACAGATAATGTCTAATTTAACCTCCTAGATTGAGCATTATGTTTATTGGTCTCCATCCTTTTGTATGGACAACCATGATCAGAGTCCTTGAGCATAAATGTTTTGAAGTGTTCTGTTCCCAGGGAACTCAGACACAATGCTAAATACCAGAGCTGGTGGCATGAATGCAGTCAGGCATGAAATATTCACTTCAGTTCACCAAATCTGTGGGAAATTGTCCATGATTTGAGTTGCCACTGAATTATTTTGATAAGACTTCTATAGGAAGAACTGAAATCCTGCTTAATGTGAATGGTGTACCTAGAACTCTGCTAAGGAGACCTTCCCTGCACTCCCACTTAAGGAAAAAGTATGGGCATGCCAGGATCTATGATAGCACAGGATCTACAATAGCAAGTCTTAGCACAGTACCACAGACTTTAACTGGTTACACAGACTGGCTTACTTACACTTTCTAGCTGTAGACATTCCTTATAACTTAACCTTACATGACTGACATTTTATGTCATTATAAAGAAATCTGTTGTGTACCCCTCAAGTCACATGGGCAAGGTGTTTCTTATATGTAAAGCCACCTTGAGTATTCCCTGTGTTTTAATGGGAATTTAGTCCTTTCCAAAGCAGGAAGAACATCTTTTCTATACTGTGACAATTTCTTTTAACTGGAAAGAACGAAGCCTATCACACATCATATTCAGAACATACAAATATTGATGGATATGATGGTAACAGCTTTCATTGCTAAATTCATTTCATCCTCTCAGGTTCCATCTCCATATTAGAGCTATGATATCACATTATGAATTATTGCCCATCCAAATCTCTTAGATGTTTTAAATAGCTTGCCACATATCTTAGAGGAATTTAGGCATCTAATAGGGAATATTTCTATTTATTGGTCCATAAGATCTTGAAATATGTGCAATACTTGCATCTGCTAATGTTAATTAGCCTTGATACATAAAATGGTTTATCTATTATGGATTATGAAAACTCATGGTTTAAGCAGACAGCAGAGAGACAACAGTGAAGATGTTATGTCCAGTAAAAACAATTTAACTGGGATTACTTGGATCATGAAAATGTGTTTCTCTTATCTATGTATTCTCCTCTATATTTTACAAAAGCATTCTGAAGAACTTAAATGTGATTTCAGTGTAGTAAACTATACACTTCATATGATTCCTCTGTAGTCATAGATAATATAGTTATCTCCATATATAGATATAGAGTTGTCTTACCATAGGACAAGTGGCAGATTTTTAGGTACCTGTCCAGGCTGACAGCTGTCATGGTAATAAGGCTCCCACAGCCAAAGAAGAAACCAGCCCATCCATACCAGCGGCAGCCTATCCATCCAAACATCCAGCGGTGACAGAAGAAGGAGATGATACTGAAAGGTTTACCTACAACTTCAAAAAAGGAGAAGAGAGTGTCAGTTGACTGATAAACCCCATCATCGATAAAACCACCCTTTTTCAGAAAGGCAAACCCTCTCCTTTGGACAAAACTTCAATGTCAAGAGGAGGCTTCAGGCACAGCAGATGCGAGGACTTAAAGCAAAAGGAGGGTAAATTTGGATGAGATATTAGAAAGAAATTCTTTATTCTGAGGGTGGTGAGGCGCTGGCATGGGTTGCCCAGAGAAGCTGTGGATGCTCCATCCCTGGAAGTGTTCAAGGCCAGGTTGAATGAGGCTTAGAGCAGCCTGGTCTAGCGAAGGTGTTGCTGCCCATTTGAGGGGTTTGGAACCAAATGATCTTTAAGGTCCCTTCCAACCCAAAGTGTTCTGTGACTCATGTGCCCTCCATCCACAAGACTAAGCCTAAGACAGCCCTAGCTACATCCCATAGCATCAACACTGTGGTAGGATGAGCCAAGTCTGCAGAATTGCTGGAAATAGGTGCTATGCTGTAGCCACAGGAAACAGAAGTAAACCAATATTCTGATACCCACCATGGGCAAATTCTTCCCGTTATGAAAACTTCAGAATATGTCAAGTCCACATGTAAACACATGTCAGTATCCAAAAAGTACAGGTGATGGGTGAGTCTGGGCTTGAAATAGGCACAGATCTAATCTACATCCCTAGGATTGTCCACTGAGTGTCTTGAAGCACAAGATAAAGAAATTTGCCTTCAAAAAGGACTTTTACAAACCTGTCAAGGCCCAACAATATGATATATAGTGAAGTGTTAGATGAGAAGGAAAGATTCTGCTATGGTTGAGCTGCAGAAGTAGTTTCAGCTCCTGTCCATGCCACACATTTCCTTGGTGCCTCTCAACAAGCCACCTGGTCACAGACAGCAAAATTTTCTAAGTTTCCCCCAAAAGAGGGGAAATATATAACATATAATATTTTTGAGGCTCTGTCTTAGTGGCACTTCAGCTCATTCCTCCATTTATAAAACTGAGGGGTGCATTATGGAGGAAGTGAAGCTGAGACAAATGTTCCATTCTCACATTAAATCAGATTTACCTTATTCATATTCTTTGTAAGCATTATAAAAATAAGAAAGTTTGAAACTTGTATTTTCTAGTTAGAAAATTACCACTACCTTCTGATTATTAATATTTTTTTTTGGTCAAAAACCAGACAAAGAAAAAAAAACAATGTTAATGGAACAGAAAACTCAAAAATTTATAATCTAGGAACATCAGCATATTTTCCAAATCTTTCATTTCTAATTACCAGACTGACCTGAAATGCTCCCAAGCCTGAACAGTTCAACTGCAATATTCAAACAACATTAAATATTGAACTCCACATTCCTGTGACTGTATTCCTTCCTCCACAGGAGTAGCCAGAGCACCTCAAGGATTTGAAAACATCTCAGCTGCCCTGGGCTAATTTCCCTGGCTGAACCACAGTGTCTGTAATGTCATAGCAGCTCAGTGAATTGGTTTATAAAGAGGGTCTTGCAAACTGTAATTCCCACAGGGTAACCTGTTCATAGAAGAGAAGATAAAAGTCTCTATTATGTTGAAGTGATCTGCAGGAAAATATGTTGAATTGTTCCCAAAAATATTCCATTTTGCATCAAACTGGACATAAAACTAAACATTCTGTTTTCAGTATTAGTAGAAAATTAAAACATTTCTACCAAAAACAAATATTGCATAAAATGGCCTTTGCTCCATCTTTATGCCAAAAACATCATGATTGAAAACCCATCAAAACCAGATTTATTTTTAAACAAAGTATTTTGAGATTGTTTTCCTTTAGCCTAAGCCTGTAAGGAAAGTTCTGCCTGAGCCTGAAAGTTGTGCTTGGGTCAATGTATGATGTGCTTTTCTCTGAGCAGAATAAATGCACTTCTAATTTTTCAAGCAAAAGTTGACCTCAGTGATTAAGTTTCAAGAAAAACATTAAATATGGCAAGGTCTGGGACATATGCTAACAGTCAGCAACTTTACTCACATAAATGATTGCCAGCTTTAAAGGCCAACACATTTATTTGCACAAAATCAAATTTCTCTTCAGCAGCAGGACTCGGAGCAGCTCAGAGCACGGTGTCAGTGCAAAAAGAGCCCGATGTAGCTTTGAACGAGGGGCTGGTGCCACCCTGTGGAAATCTGTAGGAAACAGGGCCATGGCAGAACTTGTTTCTTGAACAAGGTGCCAAGATAAGTGTGTGAAATGTGAAGATCCTGGGGGAAAAAAATCCCATCTTCATTCCAATCAGTCCAGCAGATTGAATACATCACATTTCTCAGGTGAACATCGTCAGTTAGCAAAAAAACATTAGAGAAGGAAGAAAAAGCCACATGGCTGTGCCAATCACAATTATTTTTAATTCCAAAACTTAAACACACAGATAGATTGAGATTCCCCATGGAAGAAAGCAAGGTGACAAGGTAGTATGGTGTTGACACACCTTAAGAGAGAAGCTGTCAGCCCTCATGCTAGGAAGGCTCCCAAACTAGCTGTAATTTGCATGGTTGAGACCTACAGTTTGCGTGGTTAGGAGATACCTATTAAACTCATCAAATTATAGAATGGTTTGTCTTGCAAGAGTTCTTAAAGATCAAATAGTTCCAATCCCCCTGTATTGGATAGGGTTACCTCCCACTAGACCAGGCTGCTCAGAGCCCCATCCAACCCATCCTTGAATACTTCAGGGATGGAGTATCCACAGCTTCTCTGGGCAACATTCAAAATATATAGCTAGGGAAATTCTCCTGAAGAACTTCCTATCATTGGAGTGACAATCATAAGAGTCAAACATGAGATTTATAATGTAAGACAGACTCTTAAAGACACAAAGGAAATGGGAGTATCACAGAAGAGTAAAAAAACATTTTGTTTTTTTCTCCTTAACTTCTAAATGTTGAAAGATGGAAATAGTGACTCCACGGCAGAAATGCCAAAGAAATCTTGGGATTTTTTTGTGTGGTAGCAATGATATTTGTATTAACATCTTTCTTCTACTGAATTCGTATTTCCTTCAGAAATCCATGTTTACTGATCCAAACCCCTGGAATCTGCAGGGGTGAGCAAATCCTTAGCCTTGTACCATGAGAGCATAACAGGCATCAGTCAGGGGAGACTGGGAGCCACCATTTCATATTGTTCAGTGCTATTTTGGGCATTTGCATGAAAGCAGCAGCATTTGGCAGAGATGAGGGCAGGAAAACGGTGTACTGCAGCTGAGGGCAGGGCTCCCAGTGTGTACAACACACAGGGGACAGATGACTTTGTGAGCATGGGAATATATTGCCATTTATATTGCATGGGGGAGATCCCATGATCAGATGGGTCTTTATACTTATTGGAGTGCCTGCCATCCAAAATATCCTTTTCTAAAGGACATCCTGCCCTTCTCCTGCATCTGCAAGTAGCCATGAGCAGCTGAGTGAGAGACTCATGTCAAGAGCCAAAACAGCAATCTCCAGAGGCTCTTGACTCTGCAACTCTGTATAAACTTTTCCAAAGCTCTCTCCTTCTGTGCCGGGACATCCAGACTGTGGGGTTGAAATAAAAATCCTCCCAGTTGGCTGCTGTTGCTCTTACTCTACAGATTGACACAAATGCTTATTTTTCTGATCCAGGCATAAAGGAGGGTGGTAACTAGAGAGAAAACTATTAGCTTTGGTAGGCTGGTGACTACTGGCTTTTTCCAATTATTTGACCAAACATGTATTTTTGAGGCACTTGGATCCCTTCTATTGCATCCTACAGCAAGAAAACATAGTTTTCTGTGCCTGTAATACTGAGCTATTTTGTGGTTATTGTGCCAGGGTGCACATGGAAACTGTTTTTGGAGACGTTGCCCAGTGCTGGGATGAGCAGGTGTTTTGCCTGATTGATAAAATCAACCCTATTTTTTCCTCTGTACTGTTAATTTCTTCCCATCAAGTTGTTCAGGAATGTTGTTTTCCATCCTTCCATGTTATTTATATGCAAATAAGAGAGCAGAAATATCAGTAGCAAAAGGCCTTTGGGGCTTCCTTGACTTTCGGAGGAATGCCTCTTGCTGCTGCCAGAAAGGATGGTGGGATAGTAAAAATGAGTGAAAACAAAGACATGGAATTACCTGAAATGCCCAGATCACACACTGCTAAATTAACAGTCATTATCTCAGCAGGTCTCAACTTCTTTTTTCTCTTTGAGGACATAAAAATAACATACCCATTTCCCAAGGTTGAAAGGATCCCTGTAATAATGAAAAACAGAATAACAATCAAATTAGAAGCCTCCTCAAAAACAGCAATACCCCATCTTCCTTGTGAAATTCCCTGATATTTTCAGCCTAAATCTGTGGTCCTAAGGCTGGACATTTTACTCTGAAACATGGTCATCTCATTGTCATTATGCAGCTCATAGAGGCATCGACTACAGACACCTCCCTCCCTCAGCAAATACTATTTTCCCCTCTGCAGCAGAGCATTGCCTTCACCACCTGAGTCTGCACAACTATTGACTGAATGTTCTCAACAGAAATCCCATAATTCCTCTGTTATTGTCAATCCCATTTTTTCTCACAAACCATAAGGACTCCTGTGTGACCAATCTTAAATTTATTATATGTTGTAATCAGAGGTAGAGGAATGTAAATTAAGATATTAATATGAAATCTTGAATTTTACAATAAAATTAATTTCTATAATCAGAAAGAAAAACAATAAAATTAATCTGATTAATCTGATTTTAACTTCCAGGTGGAATTCAGTGCATGAGCAGGGACCCATTTCTTGTTGGCTGACATCTTTTTTTCCATATCACCACCTAAGCAACCACAGAGAACCACACTGCAAGTGGTTGATCACCCATGGAATTAATCACACCGGTACCAAAAACTGTAGGGTTTCCATTTCCCATAAAGAAAAATGTTTCTTCACTAACTCAGGTTTAAGTTCAGCATGAGGGTTTTGTTGAGGAAACACAGGACAGCACACACAACATCCCTTTCATGAAGCAAGAATCACACCCAAAGGTGGAAAACCCAAAGGGACCTTTGCCCATAGAGTCTCACACCAGAGCAGAGGAGACAAGTAAGAAGGAGGGAAACACAGAAGAAAAGACTGAAGAGCAAAGAATGACAGAAACCCCAACCTCCTGCCCTGACATTGTCTCACCAAAGGGACCTACAATGGCAACGAGGAAGATTTTGGACAGGAGTTCAACTCAGAGAAGCGTGAGAAAAGGTGTTCTCCTTAAGTACTTTATGTTTGTCATCTTTGTTTCTCCCTACGTAAACAATAATTAAATGTTAAGTTTGGGGGGTTGGAAGTTTGGGGATTGGAACTGGATGATCTTTAAAGTCCCTTCCAACCCAAACCATTCTTTAATTCTATGATTCTAAATTAAATTCCCCTCAATGAGTCTGTTTGCCACTTCAGTAACTGGGGATGGATCTCCCTGTCTTTACCTCCACCCTGGTTTCATCTCCACTGTTTTTTCTCTGCCTATTTCCTCCCTATCCCACTGTGAGGGTCATTCTGGGCGCTTGGCTACCAGCTGAGGCCCACTCACCACACTACTTCAAAGAAGTCATAAATACGCCAACTTTCCTCTGTTGATGAGGCAGCAAAGTCACCTTTTGTGATGTCTTCATCCACATGGCTCTGCTGGGGCAAACTCAGCTGTATTCTATGTTTCTAAAAGACCCCAGCAGCCCTCCAAGCCTCCCAGCAACTCTGACCTCTCCAAATACTGCACCTTTGAATACCACAAAATTTTCATCAGAATCTTCTGTCAGGCCAGACCTCAGGAATTGAAGCTCAGTAATTTAATTATTTAGTAATTAATTGGGTAATTCAGTAATTAATAGGCCAGTATTTAAATGGGTATTTAATTATTTACCGTGGCCCATCAATGGAACAATCCCCTTGCAAGGGTGCCATGTCCTCAAAAAATTGAGAAGCCCAACCTGGGAACATCCATGAGGCAGAGAGAAAAATGGTTCTCAGAGGCTAAAATCAGACTGCTTACCAAGACATATAACCAAGACATGTAACCATAGAGCCAAGAGTTTACCAAACTCAGGACAAAAATACTTTGATTTTTAATTTTTTGGTATTAAATGCAACACTAATTGGACCCTCTTCTTATTTTTATATTGACAGTATTGTTTTCTAGATTATTTTAAAAAAAACAGACAGGACAGAATCTGGCTTATTATTGATCTTAAGTTTTCACAGTAAATTTGATTTACCCGTGGTTAATTAAATTTAAAGAACAATCTACTCTTATGGCTCTACAAATTTAATCTGAATTATAAGCAGAAAGAAGTATTCATATGAATTATTTTCTTCCTTGCAGCTAAGTCAATGAATCTCAATGTCGTGAGAATTTTTTTATGTATTTTAATCCTTTTCTCTCTTATTGCCATTTTTCTCTCCAGTGATATTTTAGATAACTAGAGTGTCAGCATCCAATTTGAAATACTTTTTGAAAGCACTTGACATTTTCCTGAATCTTTTTCAACTGACTGGCAGTCTAGAGAGACATCTCCATCAGGCAAGCCTCTAAAGCAACTGCTAATTATTAATACCAATGTTCCAGAGAGCCCCAGCCCACTGACCTCCTAATCCTGCATCTGGAAGGGGCCCAGTGATTAATTTATGTCTATACTTTCATTGACAATTGCTTATCTGAATTCTTTTTTAACTCCTCAGTGATCAAAACTTTATAATCTCCTTAGAGGAGCATCTAATGCTCCATTTCCCCTTCTATTAAATGATTTTCCTAGCAGTTAGCTGGAGACCTTGCTGGTGCAATCTCCAGGTCTGGTAGTTTGGAAACAGGGGAAAAAGACTCTTCAGTTATAAAATAAAGGCTCTTTTCCAGGAGTGAACAGTTCAGGGTAAACAGTCCACGGCACTGCAGCACTATTACATATATACAAAGAGCCAAGGATGTGATAACTAAAAAAGTGACACCTGCAGAGAAAGAGCCAGGTTGAGATACACGACCTGCAGCAAGAGGGGAAAGTGTTTAAAAGTAGTAAACTAAAGAAATAAGCTTCCGTTTCTCCAACTGACAGCAGTACTAAACCACTAGAGAAAATGAAAAAAAAAAAACCAAAATGATAGTTCAGGATTTTTTTTTTCAATTAAGCTGTTTCATAACATGCTGAGGAAGCATGCAGCAACAGTTTGCAAATCAATAGTTAGTCGCCACAGGGTTTCAGAGGAGCTGGCAGCCAGCAGGCCTCCACTCAGTAGTTTGTCACCCTGCCTGGCCATACAGAGAATCAATCAAGCCAGTGATGAAAAAGCTGGTGGGGGAAGTGACAAAGTAAAAAGAATTGGATTCTCAAAACCACATGCATAGTTTGATTTATTTTTTTTCTAGACAATTAAAAAAACTACACATGGAAATGAACTAATCAGGAAAAAGGATCATGTGCTCACAAAGAATTTAGCACAGATTGGTCAAGACCCCTGATTTTCTTCAAAGACAAAAAAATATTACTTCTTCTATTTCAAGTTGCAATACTTCAGCTGTAGAACCAGTCTGACCCTAAAGCTCTGCCAAGTTGCCTGTTAGCATCGCAGCCTTGTTCAGCCACAGTGCAGCTTCTTCCCCTTTTTGAAAGAAATTTTAAACTCATTTGCACCTTACACACCTCAAGGGCAAAAAGATGTGCAATAGCAGTCCTGGCTTCCCACCTCCTGGCTTCCCTCTCACTGCTATCAGGATGTCCACACAGGCCATCCTCAAGAGGGGCCACAATTTTCTTGGAAGGGATCTGCAAAGGAGTAGGGAACACAGTTCAGTGCTGCCACTGAACTGAAGGTGACAAGTTCAGTCTGAACCACAAGTTATAACAAAAAACACAGACACATAATTATAGGATCATTCAGATTGGAAAAGACCTCCAAGATCATCAAGTCCAATGTCTACTTGTTTTCTAAACACTTCCAGGGTTGATGATTCCACCATTTTGCTGGGCAGCCTATTCCATCTGCTGAACCACTTTTTCAGTGAAGAAATTTTTCCTACTATCGAATCGAAACCTCCCCTGGTGCAATTTGAATGCATTTCCTCTTGTCCTATCACTTGTTGGGGGAAGAGACCAACCCCTACCTGACTACAACATCCTTTCAGGTCATCGTGGAGAGTGATAACGTCTCCCCTGAGCCTCCTTTTCTCCATACCCTCATTGGTTACAGGAACTGAATGCTCCAGCTTGGTTTTCTATCTTCTGTAGATTACACACACAATTTATAAAGTAAAATCTGCAATACTGCAGAGTTACCCCAAGGCACAGCTATGCACAAGAGCTATTAGAGTTTTGCTTACTGTTTTGGACACTTGGGAGCTGTGATTAACTGTAAAGCTGCCAATTAAAGCAAATTTGCAGCCTTAGCAATCTTGCAGTGTGCAATTTGATGTCAGTGAATAGCTTCATAGAGGCAAGCTTCCTTCTCCACTATCTACCACCCAAAAACTTTACAGAGCAGTGCTTTATGTCCTAACATAGATGTGGATGCTTTGAATTGCCAGAAATCAGCTTAATGGAAAAGGAAATTTGAGTTGTTCGTTGTTTTGGGTTTTTTGCAGTAAGTAAAAAAAGCTACTCAGAGATTTACCTGAGAACAATGACGATGAATTTCCTTCTAAGTTCTCAAGTCCAAGATATTACTAAGATGTTGCTATCCACCTAAACATGAGTGGGTACTAAAATCTGGACCTGCACAGCAGGAGGTGGTAATGGTGGCATCCCCAAGGCACTACACTAAATCAGCCTTGTGAGCTACAGCTCACATGAGAAGAATCAATCCAAGTCAAGCTTTATTTTTTTTTTTTAAGAAAAATGTGCTTAAAGGTTACTTTGCCCCATCTATTCACAAACACAGAAGACCTGGCATTGGTCCTTCCATCGGTTTTGTTTAATTTCCTCTCTTAGAGGCTGAGCCATAAGGTGAAATTGTACTTTACTGGTAAAAACTATCACACTCTCCTTCACACAAATCCCTACAAAAGGGTGAGAAGGGAGGAGGGGGAGTGGAGGGTTCTGCACTTCTCTTGGCCTTTGGCCACTTCATGTGCATTACTGTATGATATACAATGTCTAAAACATTGCTGTGCTGGTCTAGAAATGGTCTAGTTGCTGAAATGGCTGATGTCACAACTGAGCAGCAGCTTGGTGCTTAAAAACAGTGCAATGATTGCTAAAAGGAATTAAAAATATCTGTGCCAGGTACCGGTGGTGTCTTATTCTACAGATCCAAGTCCAAGGAAGATGCAAATGCAGCATTTACATGCATATGTGAAGACCATAATTCCCTCTAATGAAAGCTGCTACTGGAGTGTGTAATGGCCATAAGGGTAAAGTAACTAACCAAGTAAAATGCAATGCAAAACAAGCACATAAAAAATAAGTTAAATCTGGATCTAAGTGTGGGATATGGTGTGTAGAGCCACACACACAGCAGAACTGTGTCTTTAACTTCCCTGACTTGGGCCACTGGATGCAATGAGTCCACCACAGGCTGTCTGATGTCCAGTCCACAACATCAGGAAGGTGGGAATCTTATTGATAAATCCAATATCAAAATGATTATCAGACCTTTTTGAATTATAATTGCAGACTCCTCACACTGCTCATGGAAGTCTTTGCCTTTATGACTGGTTTTTGGCTTTTCACTGGAAACTTTTATTTCCTGTTCCTTGCCTTAATTTGATTACACCTGAGTTTTTCAATTTGTTTCATACCTGATGGGGTATTTTTTTTTTTTTTTGAACAGGATAAATCTACCCTAAATACAGCAAACATAACAAGGCAACACAGTGTATACTAGAAAGATTCATTGCAGCTACTCAAATACATTTCCTGGGATTAAAGCTAAATTTGCTTAACAAAGTGAATAAAGACCCAAAGTGGGGGTTGTTTTGGACAGTTCAGTGAAGACATCTCTCTGCAGAGCAGCAGGAAAAAACATATATGTGAAAAGTGAGGATACATAGAAAACAGCACATGAATACCAAAACCAGCACTGAGAGACAGCTTCACCTGCCACCTCTGCTGCTCTGAATTCTTTTTTCAATAAAGACATAAGCAGGAAAAAAAATGATAAATTAGCAGAAGGCATAAGTAGAAGAGAAATCATAAAATAACTCTGATACCTTTATTACAGAAAAGATATTAGATTACTTAGATCAGTGGGAGGAAAGGCAGTACGTGAGAGTAGGAGGGAAGGATGTAAAGTAGTGAATGAGAAACATAAATGTAGGAATGACAGATCAATCCTTGTATTTTGTGCAGAACTGGTTGAACAAGTTCTGGTTGAATCAATACTGAAATAAATGTCAAGGAATACGGTACACCCTGTATTCAGACTGGTGTTCAGCTGTCTGAACTGAGCTCAGTTTGGTGTAGTTATTTACGTGTCCTTAGCTCAGCTTTAGGAGAAAATCGCTGTGAGAAACTGCATGAACCAAAGCCATAAAACATAACAAAACCTAAATATATAAAGAAGAATAGAATAGAATAGAATAGAATAGAATAGAATAGAATAGAATAGAATAGAATAGAATAGAATACAGAATAGAATAGAATATAGAATAGAATATAGAATAGCATAGCATAGCATAGCATAGCATAGCATAGCATAGCATAGAATAGAATAGAATAGAATAGAATAGAATAGAATAGAATAGAATAGAATAGAATAGAATAGAATAGAATAGAATAGAATAGAATAGAATAGAATAGAATAGAATAGAATAGAATAGAATAGAATATCCTGAGCTGGAAGGACACACATGGGTCAACGAACTCCGACTCCTGGCCCTGCACAGGACACCCCAACAATTCCATGTGCCTGAGAGCATTGTCCAAACACTTCTTGAATTCTGTCAGGCTTGGTGTTGTGACCACTTCCCTGGGGAGCCTGCTTCAGTACCCAATCACCCTCTGGATGAAGAACCTTTTCCTAATATCCAACCCAAACCTTCCCTGACACAGCCTCATGCCATTCCCTTGGGAGTTGAGACAAGTACTGACACAAAAAGATGTAACTCCAGCCTTCTCCCTAAAGCAAATTTTTCCTGCTGAATGATGACTCCTTGGCATATGAATACTTAATGCAGAAATCAGTCCCAGCTATCATCTGTGTGCACTAACCAGTACGTAATTGTATTTATTATGCTTGCAAAGTCACTTTGAACATGGTGAAGGACTGCAACACAGAAGGCCGGGGAGGGTGCTAGGCAGAAAATATTGTTCAGTGTAACGTGTAAAAGAGGACAGATGATGCCAGGAGCTGAGCAAGGTTCAAATGAGCACATCTCAGGATGTTCTCTGCTGCACAGGCATGTGAGAGAGGCTTTGAAAACAGGCCACATGGCATAGTGGGAAAAATTCATTTCTGCTCAGAGACAATTAAACCATAAGGTAGTAACTTATCAGTAGAAAAAAAAATACCATTTATTCACTTTTTGCTGGAAGGTCCACTGCCAGTCACTTGTGGCTATCTGGAGCAGCATTGTCTGTTGACACTAACTGTTGACACCATATTTCTAATGCATTTTCTCCTCTACCTCCTAGATTTTTCTTTCTAGTATGAAGAAATATGTAATTACACATCAATGCACAGCAGCTTCTGCTTCCTTTGTGAGAGCTACAAGCAGGTAGTCATATCTCAAAGACCAGTTATAAAATCATTACCAATTACTGTCAAATAAAAGCCAGCTATGATGTCAGCTTCTCTAGAAAGCTTTGATGCAAAAGGGTCTCCCTTCTGGAGATAATGTGGGACGTATTCTTCCTGGGAGGAAGTGTTGTGGTCTGATGCCATCCCACTCATGTCCAGTTAAGTGCCTGAAAAACAAAAGAACAGTTTGCAATAGATCACATCTGCTGCTGGAAAACACGAAGATATTTTTGTTCATACACAAGATGCATCTTCCCATCCTCATTTCTGCTCTGCCACTTGCCAGGGCATGGTAGGATCCAACTCAAAATTGCGTAAAGCATCCTGCCATGATCTATTTCATGACTTTATCCAAGAACATCGTTATTCACATGGCACCACAGTATAAAAAAGACATTAAGGTATTAAAGAATGTCCAAAGGAGGGCCACAAGGATGGTGAAGGGTCTGGAGGGTAAGCCATATGAGCAGCAGCTGAGGTCATTTGGTCTGTTCAGCCTGGAGGAGTCTGAGGGGAAACCTCATTGCAGTCACAAATTCCTTGTGAGGGGAGGAGGAGGGGCAGGCACTGATCTCTGCTCTGTGGGGACTACTGACAGGACCCAAGGAAATGGCCCAAAGCTGTGTCAGGAGGGGGTTAGGCTGGATATTAGGAAAAAGTTCATCACCCAGGGGATGTTTGGGCACTGGAACAGCTTCCCTAGGGAAGCCGTCACAGCATCAAGCCTGATGGAGTTCAAGTAGTGTTTAGACAACACTCTCAGGTACATGATGTGACTCTTGGTCCTGTGCAGGGCCAGGTGTTGGACTCGATGATCCTGATGGGTCCCCTCCAACTCAGTGGATCTGTGGGTCTGTGGCAGTCCCCACAGTAACCCCTCTGAGCAGGTACCATTGTATCATGGCTTTCAAGACAGGTCTTTGGAAGTGCCTTCCCTGAATATCTTAAGGATCTCCCTGTTTCCAGCTTGGTCTAAGAGTGCCCCAAGACTGAGAATCCAGAAAAAATAAGCAAGGCAATCTTTTGTGTCTGATTATCTTCATTGCTCAATGTGTTTAATGTATACTGTACTACTTGTCTTTATCTATACACACAGTTCTCTTAATGCCAAGACACTGGTAATTACCAGTAAGACAGTCCCAGCAATTTCTTCATATCCTGAGGGACACTATGTCTACAGATGGCAACTCTAAAAATTTTAAAGATAAGTGAAAACTCATATCTATAAATTCTCCTTAGAGTTATTTAGGTGTTGGGTTCCAATGCAAATAGCTTTTCCTGGCTATGGTTATAAACAGCAATTGGCTGCTACAGTCATGAAGAAGCAGTAGAATTATTAAATAATGGACTCATGTAGGAAAGCTTGTTGAGTTTTCTTTCCATTTCCTTTCATGTGGAAATTGGCCATTGAGGTCAAATATACTAATGGAAATAAAGTGAACCCAGACATGGGAGAACTAGAATGTGGCAGACACCCCTGAGGAATATCCCTCCAGGACAACTGAAAAAGTAAAGTGAGGAACCCTTGCATAAGGCAAAAACCTTTCTACCATGCTTGAAACCACACAATCAGGAGCTTTTTAGGGCATTCAGACCCCTCAGTTCTTCTTGCCAGTGCTTGGTGAGAAGGAAAAAAGCATTGCCTTATTTTACCCATTTGCTATCTCTCCCGCATTTTGAAGGCAGACCTATGTGGCCTGGTACACCTAAAGCACAATCCTGTTGTCCCTCTAGCTCTGAAAAAAAGATGGTCTAAGGAGACCATCTAGTACAAAAGGATGGACTAAATCATGAATCTGGGAAACAAAATAGTCAGAACGATTACCCTCTCCATCCTATCATAGCCACAGGTCTTGATCCAGATTCCACCCGATCTTTAAAAGAATCCTGATGCTTTTCCATCCCCCAGCTTGCATGATGCCACAACTCTTCTGTGGCTGCAGCATTTGGGTGTCTGAAGTGATGCAAGTGGAAAAGCACATCTGGGACCTGTCAGGACAATTTGGGTTTGATACAAATACCAAAGTGTTTAAGGGCATTTTCTTCTTTTGAGCCACACTAGAATCTCCCACTCCAGTCAGTATCAGGTGGCTGACAAGGACAATCGTGTCCAGCTTACAAGCACACAAAAAAGTAGCTTTAAAAAGGAAATTTCAACTCCTGTATATGTTAAGCTTAACCACAAGTACTGCCATTGTGATTTTAAATTGGCATTAAAGAAAAGGTGCAGGTTTCCCAAACAAATCACAGCCCTGGGACAGGAGGGAGCCCTCTCTGATCCAACTACTCATGGAAGATTTTGCTACTCTGGTCAATCTAAGTTTTTTACCTGCTTGTAAATGTTAATGTTGTAACAGAGTACTCCTATCTGGTTGCTGAAAAAGAAGCACCTTATTGTGGCTTTAAGCAGAGAGAGCACATTATTTCTTGAAAATTTTCAACAAAAATAAAGGGAAATGATTGTCAAATTTCCAAGAAGATACAAAAACTCTCCTCGTTATTGTAATAATGACTGATTATTAATAATAAATTTCAGATATAAGGAGATAAAAAACAACTCTACTTGATTTACACAAAAAGTTAACAATGACATGTAATGCAGGGTATTAATACTAGATTATGGCTTTAAAAAATGTTCATCATCCTGATTAGGCAGGAATTGACTGTGTCCCCCAAAATGAAGCTCTATGCAAGAATCAGATCTCACTTTTAGAGCACATAAAACAGAAAAAGATGCAATTAACAAGGCAGAATAATTAGTTCTCTCATAATTCTAAGTCAAGAAAAGCTGTAATCCTAATCAGTATCTAGTATCTAAATGTTGGGCAAAAACCTATGGAGAGAGATAACTTTTATAATAATAGGCAAATCCTAGCAATTGTAGGGGATGTCCACTTTCCCAGACAAATTATTTCAGGAACCAACATCGGAACTGCTAACTCTGTTGGTTTTATTAATACATGTGCTTTTTAAGATGCCACAGTATTAAATGCCTGATAAAAGTCATAAATGTTCTGATCCACAGCTCCTAAAAGTTAATAGTCAGTGACAGGGACTACAAAATGTTCTTTTAATAGGAATGCCAGTGATCCCCCCTTGTACCAACCCTCATTGCTCCTGTGAACTCCTAAAACATATTGGGAAGCTACAAATAGGAAGTGGACTAACCCAGACTCCAATTACGCCTTCTTCCGCGGGGCTTAGATAAACATGGGCACATACAGGCAAAATCTGAAGTCCTTCAACTAAATTAGTAAGAAAACAATCACTATACTTATGTTAGGCAGCTAAAAATATAGTATATTTAGTTTATGTAGCACAGCCAAAGTGGTATGAAGTCGGGAAAGCGTTTTTGTAACTAATGAAGGAAATATTAATACCAACCATTAAAAAAATTTTTAAAAAAATCTGAAAAACATAAGGGTATTTAGTATTAGAAAAAGCCTTCTATGTTTCGTAGGAATCGCAGAAACTGGACTATTATCAGATGCTGCAGAAATCTGTGAAAGTTACAGTGGCAGCAATGCTTTCATGTGTTTGAAAAGAGAGCACAAGACATCGTGGACCACGTACAAGTGTTGTAATTATTTGTAGAAGCACACTAATTTACCAAGTGATAAATGGCAGAGTGGAACAAAAGATATCCATGATCCCAGCATCACCTCATAGAAAGTTAGTAGAGCTCGTTTTGAAGGACTTAATACAGCTGAAGTGATAACGTTATCAACTGTGCTAATTAAGAAAATAATTTTCTGCTCTCTCATGATACGTTAAAAACAATAAGGTTATGAATAATTTTATCTGAGTCAGTAAAAGACAAGAGCTAAAAGGATAAATCAGTACCAGCAAGTATTGTTATCTTTTTAAGAGAAAAAAAGGTAATTATCTCTTCCTTCAATTTGTCCGATGACATCTATTTCTCAGAGTCCCCACAGCAAAGTTAGTCATCTGTCAGTGTCTGCTGGATCCCAACTCCTGCTGTCAAGCATCATTTTTATCCTAAACTTCTCCTGTGTATTTTGAGGAGCTCATTTCATAGACAAGGGCTGTGGAAACAGGAAAAGGTCCCAATGGGCAGTGAGAGGTAAAAGTTATCTCTAATTAAAGCCCTGGTTAGGTGCTTCTATTTCCTTTCAGTTTTAATGCTATGCAGTAAGACTTACTATTGAACTTTGAAAAACATGCAATAATTTTAAAAAATGTGATGATAAATTCACAGGTAGTTATGTGAGTTTTAGGTGCTCCCTTCGCCTTAAGGGTGGGTTGTCACAGTGCCTGCAGCTACTTTTATGTTAGTAAGCAGTGCAGACCCCCAGCAGTGGATCTGCAAAGCAAAACAGGTACTGTTGAGGACCTTTATTTTTCCAAGGCTGTGCACTTTTCAAACACCAGTGCCTAAAAAAAAAAAAGGGAAAAGAAAAAAAAAAAAAGGAAGAAAAGAAAGGGAAAAAAGTGAATCAAAAAACAAGACTGCTTTTAATTGAGTCCTTGATTCTGATTAATAAGCATAGATATTAATAACCCAAGCTCTCAAAAGATATTTTGCAATATAAGTGCTTCATCTGCTGTAGCAGGCACACTTGGACAAGCACTGGGAAATGATCCAGTTATCAGGGACTGGTTTGTTCTTGCTGCCTCACAAGACCAAGTGATTCCACATAGCAGTAGGTCTCCAATGTCCAAAGCGTGGGAGCAGAGAGCACTGCACCACAGCCTACCATCTAGCTCATCTACAGACCATCTTTCCAGCACATTCCATGATGAAAGGCCCCCTGTGCCAGTGAAAACAGATTTAAAACCACAACAAAAGAAACCAACCTGCTGCTTCTTAGAAATGGACTCGTGCTTCTATCTGTGCTGCAGACACTCATCTTTAATTAATACGAACAATTCTGCTTTTAAATAATATATTCTTTAAAATGGAACTGTTCAACTCTAGCCAACCTCAGAAGATCAAAAATCATCACCCAGACACTATAAAATGTCAATATCAAGCCTCAGAACTCCTGACATTAAAGGAAAAAATTATTTGAGGATTTTTGTTGGGCCTCATGAATGCAGCTCTGCCCACCCTACATCAGTTTTGCTCTCACCTCTCTCCTCATCTCTCATTGGGGTGTTTCAACATGTCCTTTGTGGTTCAGCCAGGCTCTTCTCACCCTGAGG